GAATGCAACCAAAAGGAAGATACAACATTTAGCTAAATGTCTCCTTATTGCCTTGGGGAATCCAACAGAACGACATGCCCTCCAGTCCCTGGGACTTTGCTGAGTCTGTGGAACTACCCAGTGACCCTCTTCCCCACGTCTCAATGGTCCAGAGTACATACTCATAAACCCCCTGAAACCGTGGTGTTCTTGGCCCCAGAGGGGCACACAAGGCAAAGTGCCAGCATTTTTTTTCTTACCATAAATTATGGATAAGACTTCCTATTGGGCAGTGTTGTGAGGATTAAAAGAAACGAGGTTTGCAAAGCTGCTAGCTCGGCTCTTGGCACATATAGATATTAAACAAGGGTGACCCCCCTATACCATCCCCTAGGGAATAGGGATGTGCCTCAGTTTTTTAATTAATAAAATAATATTTTTAAAGTCTTGTATAGATGTTCACTGGTTAAATAAATTTACTGAGAACTTTTTACAAAATTATTATGAACAAATAAGTGTATTAATGCAAATGTAAAAATAGAATGAATTCCATTTATCCATCACCTAGCTTCACAATTATCAACCGAATTCAATCTTGTTACATCTACATCCCCACCTACTCTCCCATCTTTTACTTTGAGGCTAACTCGGAAATCATATTATTTCATCTGCAAGTATTTCTGTATATACCTCTAAAAGTAAGGACTCAAAAAATAATCACAATACCATGATAACACCTTAAAATATTAACAAGAATTCTTTAACATTATCAAATATCCAGTCAACTTCAAATAGCCAAAAGTCACATAAATATATTTTTAATAGTTTGACTCAGGATCCAAATATATATTTTAAAAGAATAGGGCTTCCCTGGTGGCGCAGTGGTTGAGAGTCCGCCTGCCGATGCAGGGGACACGGGTTCGCTCCCCGGTCGGGGAATATCCCACATGCTGCGGAGCGGCTAGGCCCGCGAGCCATGGCCACTGAGCCTGCGCATCCGGAGCCTGTGCTCCGCAACAGGAGAGGCCACAACAGTGAGAAGCCCGCGTACCGCAAAAAAAAAAAAATGAGAAACTATGTGTACAGTGCTTGGCACATAATAATCCCACAATAAATAGTAAGTGTAGTTAGACTCTCAAGTGTTGAGGGGATAAGGCTGGAAGGAAAGGCAATGGTTAGAGCCACATTGTCTAATACAGTACCGACTGGCTACACATCGCTATGGAGCACTTGAAAAGTGGCTAGTTCAAGTTGAGATGTGTTGTAAGTAAAATCCACTCCGGGATTCTAAGATGTACTGTGAACAAACAAATGTCTCAATAATAACTTTTAATATTTAAAATATGTTGAAATTATATGTTGAATATATTGGGTTAAATAAAATGTTATTAAGATTAGTTCCATCCTTTTTTTTTTACTTTTATGAAAGTGGCTAATAGAAAAATTTAAATGACATACATGTGGCTTGCATTATAAATATCTATTTATTTATGGAATATGTATGATTTATTTATAGAAATCTGTTGGACAGAATGGGGCTAGATCAACTGCCCCTCTCCCTCAACCTCCAAAACTTGTTGATTCTGTTTCCTCACTAGCTCGCACATTTGTCTTCATCTCCCCCACTGGCTTAGAGTATTACAAACCCATTTACTTTATTTTATGTTTTGCATTTTTAATCGAGATATAATTGGCATACAACACTGTGTTAGTTTAAGGGGCACAACAAGTTGATTTGATATATACTGCAATATGATTACCACTGGAGCATTAGCTAACACCTCTATCATGTCACAAAGTTATTTCTTTCAGTGCTTATTGGCCCCTCTCCAGTCTATACTGCTCCTTCTTAAATCTTTCACAGTCTCCCCTTGGCCTTCAGAGACATTGGAAGTTCCTTATCACAGCATAAAATTCCCTTCATGATCTGACTCCAACTCTTTAAACTCTCTCCCTACCCTCCCCACCACCACCTCTTTGCAGGTTGTTCTCCTGCCTCAAGCAAAACCCCTCACCCTCATCCCAGCATAATTGTGAAGAGTTAGAGAGCAGGCTTTGAATCCCAGCTCTGCAATTTACTGACAAACTTTGAAAAAGTACTAGACCTCTCTGAGCCTCATGATTGTTCTCTCTAAAAAAAAAAAAAAATAGACTTGAACTAAATGAATAGACTTGCCTTTCAGAATTTTTATGAGGATTACATGAGAATGCATAGATGGTGCCAGGTACATAGCAAGCCCTCAATGAACGTTACTGCTGAACATTTTCTCCTGGAGAAGTATTCCTTGCCACCCCGCCTCCACACATACTAGTGTCTCCCTGGGGTTTCCACAGTACTCTGTACACTCCTCACCCCCAACTTTTCTCTCAGTGTTTTAGCTGTTCACCATTCTTGCCTCTAGATCAGTGGTCCTCAAAACTTCATCTTAGAAGCAGCAGTGCTAGCATCCCCTGGGAAGTTGTTAGAAATGCAAATTCCTGGAGCCCACCCCAGAACTACCGACTCAGAAACTCGGGGGCTAGACCCAGAAATCTGTTTTAACAGGCCCTCAAGGTGAGTCTGATATTTATACATTTGAAAAACACTGCTACACTGGGTATGTATGCCTAGGACCACATCCAATTCATCTTACATTGCCACCCAGTCCAGTGACTATTTGTCAAATGAAAAAATGGATGAATGAATCCTGATGACAGGCTGAAGCCATCGGAGGATAGCCAGCAGGGGAATGTCATGGTCTGATTGCCTTTTAGAAAGTTACTTTTGTAGGCTGTGCAGAGTACAGATTATAGGCAGAAGTAACCAGAGGCAATTGAATTTGCTTATAGGAAAATTATGATTTGAAAATCTAGATTTATTATTCAGGCAGAAAAAATAATTATTTACAAAAAGAGTGCCTTTTTTTTCAAAATATTCCTTTCAAAACAATTTTAAAATGCATTATTATATCATTCTATTTATATGTAGTCTTTTATAAATTTGTTGGGAAAAGTAGGTATATCTATATGTTGAATTTGTCAATAAATACGTTCTCCCACAAATTATGATTTCATTTAAAAAAATAGTTCCAAATATCTTACACATATTTAGTATTTGTGGGTTTTCACAGTATGTAGTACAATCCTCTGCTTGGATTGTGAAAGCAAAATTCTATAGCAAGTGAGTATATTTAAAACTTAAAATGTTATTTAAATTTCAGTATTAACATAGAAATAAGAATAGTTTCATGTTTGTTTGACCATATATTAGTATAGAGATTATGTATTATTTATCTTATTTTGCATGGAAATGCAGTAAGCAATCATCTAGAAATATTTCAACTAGAGGCTATTAATGCCCAAATTAAAAGAAAAACAAATTGATGTTAATGTACAGAATAAAGAGTAAAGAAAACCAAAGACATGTGACCCTCCAGAAAATTATGAGGCTGCAAAAGCCCCAAGGTTGCTCCCTGTCATAATACCATATTCCTTCAGCAGATTCTCACCTCAATAATTGGGCAGGAATTCATCCAACTTAAATATGGGCACAGTATCTGGACTTCCAACTCAGGTAAAGCTTTCATATTTTCTCTTGACCCCTAAATCATCTTCTCTACAAGTGAGGGCTTTTTGTTATTTCCATTATTCCTCCTTTTGTTATTTCCTCCTGCCTGGAGGACACTGTTAGTTGCCCACCCCACAGCAGACCCCTCTCTTCTTTCTTCTTTGCTAAAAGAAATAATTTTTATCGTATTAAGGCAGTAGGTGCCTATCTCTGAGAGCAAAGTTCCCATGTTCGAAGTCTATCACGGTAAACTGTTTTTCCCTTTGCCTGTGGTAGTTCAGGAAGTGAGCACATGACGAAGTGGAGGTCACTGAGACATCATGGAACGTCTGATGGGGGCTTCTAGGAAAGATTTTTTATCCTCTAATGAAAGACAGAGAGCTGTGGAAAGAAGGTCTCCTTTACACTCATTCTTTTACTTCTTCCCTTAAGCGTTGTGTCAGCTATCATGAAACCACAAGGCTATACAGGTCTTAAAAAATAAATGGGGTGTTGTTTAAGGGTACACATTTACAGCTAATAGTAAATAAGTCCTAGAGATCTAATGTGCAGGATAGTGAATATAGAATCATATTGTATTATAATTGTCATACTTGAAAAGAGACCAGATATTAATTATTCCAGCTACACCCACAGAACTGATAATTATCTAACATGATAGAGGTGCTGATTATCACTACAATGGCAATCACATTACAGTATGTAAATGTATCAAATCAACATGTATACACCTTAAATGTACACACGGTTAAATGTCAAATATATTTCAAGAAAAATAATAGTAAAATAAATTTTTAAAGGAAAGAATGAGGGTAAGAGGAGACTAAGGATCATGAGGGAGAAAGGAATAGGGACAAGGAGTGGGAAATACTAAAGAGCAAAGGGAGGATGAGAATGATGGGCAGAGAGAGAAGGGACTTGCTGAGCAAAGGGGAGTCTACAGGCAAAGGGTAGGAGGGGCTAAGAATGACGCGGGGATGGGGAGATGGGAGTGGGGTTCTGAAGGTCTCAGAACCCTGGAGTCTGGATTTCTTATGGCCCTCTTAGGCCTAAGAGACAACCCATTTTTAGATAGTTGGAAGAAGTGAGTTCTTGGTAAATCTGTAAATTTAGTCCATTCAGCCAGTTGGTTGTGGTGTACTCTGTGCTAACTTTCTTCTCTTCTGGCCTTTAGTGGAGGGCTCCTTCTGTACCCCAGCCAATTAAAAGACTTGGTAAAGTTGGTGAATTGGTTATTCGGAGAAAATGAATAATCGTAAAGTGTTGACTAAACAAGATGACTTTTTAAAAGATTCAAAAGGAAAAAGAATAAACTGAAAAATTCCGATGTGAAATGCTAACGTATTTATTATATTCACAAGACTGTATTTTAAAAGATTAATAGTGAGGTCCAGCACATTTTCAATTGCTCATTGGCTTTTAAAATGTTTATTCGCATGAACTGCCTATTTATATACTTTGTCACTTTTTTCATTGGTTTGTCTGTCTCTTTTATATTCGTATGTATTTATATATTGTATTGAATAGATATCAGTCCTTTGCCTGTGATATATGTTGCAGATATTTTCTCCTGTTCTGTTTCTTGGCATTTAAGCCTTAAATTCATTTGAGGTTTATTTTGGTGTCTCGTGCAAGACTGGAATCTAATGGGATTTTCTATCTAGAAGTTAAACAATTTTCACAACACTATTTGTTGAATAATTCCTCTGTTCCCCATTCATCTGCGAGGTCTCCTTCTTAAGTCTCATATGTGGTAAGATCCATTTCAGGACCATCTATTGTGTTTTAGCCAATTACTCTGTAAATTCTTGCCCAGGAGTTTAACTGTTGCTGTGTAATTTTATGTTTATACTTTTCAAAATTTCTTAGCCGTTCTCATATTTTTACTATCATGGCAGCTGAGATTTAGAATCATTTGGTCAAGTAAAAATATAAGTATTGGCACTTAGGAACTTGGTTGTGGTAGATGGAGAGCAGGTGGTGTGGGTTTATGTACTGCATTAATCCTTGCTACAAATATGTACTATGCCAGCCTCTCCCATCAGCAACACTTTCATTGTGTACTTTGAAGTCCTTCCCACCCCGTGGGTCTCCAAGCAAAACAAGCCTAGCCAACGCTATCTAGCAGTCATTCATCGTCTTTTGTTTGTCAGACTCATTACCAACAACCATGTGAAAAAGCCCAGGCTATTGGAGCTCACCCCTGTGTTCTCTTCAGGTTGTTTTGCAGAACCTTCTCATATGTGTCATCCTCTTCTACACTGTGTACTACGTGGCTCTGGGCATGTACTGGGTGATGCTCAAGTAAGTAGCACATCGCCTTCAAGCAATTCAAAAGTTCAGATACAATATGAAAGGAGTTCATACTGAATACTCAACATGTCTTTATAGAATAAATGATGCAAAAATGTTTAATGGTATATTTTCTTAATTTTTTTAAAGTAAAATAAACAAATGTGTCACCTTTGAAAATGGTAAAAGTAACAATCATGAAATGAAGTGAATAGAACCAGGCAGGATTGTTCCTCTTACCTCTGGAGGATGATCATAGAAAGAAAGTGAAGCTATTACTCCCTGGGCTGATGTTGAATCAGAGGACGTTTGAACCAGAAGGGAATTTAGAGATAATCTACGTCCAATTTAAATATTTTCTGATATATATTGGAAATAGCTTTGGACTGCGAGTCAAGAGATCTGCATTCCAGCCCAGGTTCTTACTAATTTCCTGGATTATCGTGACTAAGCCAGAGAGCTTCTCTTACTTCAGTTATCTTCATTTGTCAAATGGAGGTAATAATCCAAAAGAGGGTTATCATGAGGACAAAGTAATACATGTATTTCTAAAGATATTTTTATGTAAGTGTGAGGCATGTTTACAGGTAATTTTTCTTGTCTTGCTATGGTTGAATTTTATCTTTACAAATTTAGCTTGCCAATATGTTGATTTCCTTGAAATACATTATGTATAGCTTCAAAGAGTTGCCTAGAAGTCGATTGTTTATACAATTGAATTTTATTGTGTAAGCAGGGAATTGGGGCCTTTCAATTTCAATGTGCAAATTAGGGCCCAGAAATGATGATACTGACTTTCACAATGGGAATAATGTTATGAAGCTTGCTTGCAGGCAAACCCACTAAGGAGGAGTCTGGTTTTCACCCACAGTTTCAGCTATTGCCTGGGACTGGAGATGGCAAAGACAGTACCCAGAGCAGGGAGGAGCTAAGAATATTCATGGTTCTCTGAACATGGGATTTCAAGGGTTTGTAGTTAATGGGAATCAGAGGTGAGGAATTTGAAGTAATCGGGCCTTAAAGCTCCAGGAGGCAGCTGACTGACCAGCTGCACGCAGCTACAAACTCAGGCAAGGTATGAGATATGTAGTTTACAGATTCAGATTTAATTTTCATTTTCCTCTATTCTTAAATCGTTTTATTTATTTTTTATTGAAGTATATACAGTTGATTCACAATGTTGCGTTAGCTTCTTGTGTACCGCAAAGTGATTCAGATGTATATATTTTTTTCAAATACTTTTCCAATATAGGTTATTACAAGATATTGAATATAGTTCCCTGTGCTATACAGTAGTAGGTCCTCGTTGTTTATTTTATATATAGTGTGTGTATCTGCTAATCCCAAGCTCCTAATTTATCCCTCCCCAACACTTTCCCCTTTGGTAACTATAAATTTGTTTTCTATGTCTGTGTAGACTCAGATTTTAGAACAGGAAGGGATCTCAGAGATCAGTTGCTTCAAGTTATAGATAAGAAACTGAAGCCCAGAGAGGTTAAGCAACCTGCCCAAGTTCATAGTTAACAGCACTGTCAGGATTAGAACCTGGGTCCTGTTGCTTCCCAGTCTATGCCCTCATCACAGTATTAGTTTTTTTCTCCCACATTTGATAGAAGTTCCCTCCAGGATTACAGCTGAGACCTCAAATACAATGAAGTCCACTTGGAGAACAAAGTAGACTTAATTGGACGAAGGAGACAATGTGGCTAAAGAGGTTATTTGGCTGCCATTCAGGTCGGCCAGTTTTCAAATGTGCCACAAAGTGATTAAAGCTGATGACTTACCCTTGTGTGGGAAGACTCGATGTGCAAAACCTTGACGTGCAAAGTTATGAACTGCCTCCTCCAGAGTAAACTATGTTCATTTGTAACGTCTTCAGGGTGTATGTGTTGGATGTCCTGGCACCATCGGACTTCAAAACAAATCCCTCATGGCTCAACACAAATTATAAAGGTAATTGGTTTTAGTTTTCCATCTTTGTTAGTTAGTGAACTAAATGCCTCCAAAAATCAAAATAGTTTTTGTTTTATAAAAATTTTAAAAATATCAGGCCTTCTTCTCAGCCATCTGTATCCTATATCTGACTCCAAAAATGTGGAAACGTGCCATCAAAATTTTTTAAGTGACTATTCCTAAAAGATGGAACAGGATGAAATAAGTGGATAGTTTTACTATATGAATTTTTATTTGGTGATATTATGGGTAAATTTTTGGTGCATTAAATATTTTTCAAAGGAAAGGAGGAAGAATGGCTTAATATACTGTTGTAGAAAGATATTTGTGAGATATGAAATGGAAAATGAAGACTACAAGACAGTTTGTATAGTATAATTATTCATTTTTGTAGAGTAGAGTAAAATACATCATGTCAGTGGTAAGAAATCTGGAGAATTATGCAACAAACTGTTATCTCCCAGCTGGAATGACAGAGGACTTTCATTTTCTGCTTTGTATATTTCTGCTTAGTTTGACTTTTTTTTTCCTTCCCCCAAATAGTATAAAACTTGTTGCAAAGGAAAAATAAGAAAGAATATACTAGGAAAAAATTAACCTTTTTTAAATTTACCAATTTTTGTTGAAGAAATAATTATTCTTAACATTCCGTTAAATTTCTTCCCACCTTTTTAAAATGAATTGTGGATTCTTCAAACCGTGCAATTCTTTAGAAAACCACTGGGCATCATTTTTTGGAACAAATATACAAATATACAAAAATTGCCTGAAGCCAAATGTGACTTGTATAGGAAACTTGGTCAGCTAAAACTACTGAATTTAAATAAAAAGCTTCAGAACAGCCTCCTCAAATGGGTAACATTGTTTTGTGCCATTATTGATTCAATTTGGGATAGACGAAGGTATGTTACAACAAGAAACTTTCATTCTAATGAGATACAAGAGTTCTAACATGCATTTCGCTATTGAAGATTGAATTAACTTTTTCCTTTTAAGCCTATTCACAAATGATAAAGAAATAATCACAGGAAAGAGTTAAGTATGGGTTGCGTGTGTGTTTGGGGTAGGGAGACAGATTTAAAATCCAACTGCTATTATTTAACTCTTGCCTTTGAGTCAGTCAATGAAAGATAGGACAATGACACAGGCTTATTGGAGAAAGCTGTGTTTTGACATAGCAGAGATTAGTGAAGATCCTCAGGATGCCTGGCACAGTTTATGTCGTTCTTTCCTCTCTCAAAACAACTAACATTTGTACAAAGATATCAATAAACCCGTAGCCTATTAGATCTTTAGTTTTGGGCTTGAAGAGATAAGTGCCATAACTCTTCAAAGTTATTACTTTGAGAATCCAGACTTGTTTAATCTTGGAGATAAAATGTAAGAGTAATCTCAAAGCCTTGGGCATGTATTGAGGGCCAGGGCTCTTGTCTGTTTCAACAATTTTGTTACCCAGGAGATCAGGCTTAGCAAGGACACTGGAAAGTATGAGTCCAGTTAAGACATTTGACTACTAATATCTTTCCCGTGCATCACAGAGAATAGATTAAAAACTGCTTTCATCTTAAAATAAAATCATCTCAACAATTTTCTGAGGTAGATGAGATAGTACTCCATTTCCCAATTTATAGAGGAAGAATCAGACTAACCCAAAGGTTAAAATCCTGCTCAAGGTCATATCACTCTTAAGCTGTAAGGTGAGACTAGAACACTGGTATCCTGACTTCAAATTTTGGACTACGTCCTTTAAATCATGCTGTCTCTCATATCATAGACAAAGCATAATGCTTCTCTATCAATATATGCAAATACAGCTTGTTCAAGACTTGTTCGCTATCTCTAAGTAGCTGCAAGTTAACCTATAAAATCTGTAAATACTGGTAAAAGAGGCATCTCTATTTCCCTATAATAATGTGGAAGCTCTGTGAACCACTGGTGGAAGCAGGAGTGGAAATGTGAGGGGAAGAGCTGGTGTCGATATGATACCGCCTATAATTCCTTCCACAGCCTTGATTTTAGAGGATGGACATACTGAAATTGTATTTCCACACAGTAGAAAAGGAGCGAGTATGAGTTCTCCATTCAACTTTTGAAACCTGTTGAGTTGAATTAAATAGAATTGAAGAGGAATAAGTGTGAGGTCTTTTAAAAGTCTGGCACCTCAGACTTGCCTACTTGCTTCATGTCTTACTCACCCACTAGGCAGTTGCTGGCATGCCATTCATAAATTACTTGTGCACAATAAAACATAATGTGACTGTTTTACTTTTTGCTTTGAAAAATATGGAGTTTGCCTGCCTAGCTTGATCAATTCCTAAATTATATGAACATACCAATCACCTACTGTGTTTTAAAAGGAAAGAAAGGTAATTTTTATGGAAAGTGATATCATTATAAAGGGACCTTGGTGGTATATCACATATATTTGTCATTTTAAAGTTTGATGGATCTCATCTTTGGAACCACCATAGTCTTAAAGATCCATATCAAAGTACATGACTCTTCACATGTTCAAGGCTCTTAGAGATCTGTGGCATTGACCTGTAAATAACTAACTCTTTATACATGTTCAGGGACAGCACTCTGAAACAACTGGTGGATTTAGAAGGGTACCTCCATTCACATGAGTCATTTATGAGACGTTCTTTCATCCATGGTTATCCGTTATGTTTCCCAGATGACTATCTGAACATACCACTTTATTACAAAGACACAAAGGAACTCATTTCCAAGTTAGGCAATAACTGGTACCAAAGAAACATTATTGTTCAATAAACTCTTAACATTTTTTTCGGAAAACCCAGAGCTGAATTTTTCATTAGGTTTTAATATATCTTCAAATGAGATTTGCAATCTAGTTACAGATCGGTGTGCATTGATTACATTGTAACTTTTACCTTCTAAAATGCTAAGTATAAAGAATATAAAACAGAAATTATATACTGTTATTTTTCTATAAGTTCAACAATTATTCAGAGATGGACTATTTTAAAAGTTCTTATTCAAATATGAGGACTGTTAAGAGATGGAACATTAAAAATTTCTTACGAAAATATTTTTGCAGAATAGGTTGTAGTGGTTCTGTTATTAATTGTATTCAGAATTATTAGTTGCCCTAATCCCCAATAATTCTATTCTTCCTTTTCTTGCACTGCTTTTAGTCTCATCAGAGGTCACCTACTTTGTTTGTGGATTGCTTTTTGTTCTGGTGGTAGAAGAATGGGTTTGGGATTATGGTATTTCAGTAACTATTCCTCATGTTACCATCACTTCAACTGGTAAGCAAAATAAAATAGGAAACAAAATGTATTCAATCTGCATGTTATATCTAAATCGATTCATAAGAGTAGAAGTTTGTAGTATGCGTGTACTCAATCTGGATGTTGTACCTAAATCGATTCATAAGAGTAGAACTTTGTTGTATGCATAGTGTCCTCTGATGGCTAAATAATAAAAACGAAAGATGAAAGTTCTTCACCTACTCCCCTCACTCCTTCTCCCCCACCAAGTTTTTCTACCATTTCCTCAGAGAGGTTTTAATTAGCTACAGCTTCCAACTCAAAAGTGTACTGAAATGTAGCAGTTTACTATTCTCCTTTCTCATTCAACTCATCATCAGTTGTACAGGGTTTGCCTCTGTTAGAATACTTTCCCTCCAAATCCTTCCTTGAGGCAGAAATTGGCCAAAGACTGGGAACTGGGACCTGAGGAAACGTGTATTTACAGGCTTGCAAACTTCCCAACAACTATTTTAACAAGAATATCAGGTTCTAAGACTAAAGCGTTTTTGTTTCTACTTGCGATCTTTGGAGTCAGAATAAGATGGATTCAAATTGCAGTCCTAACTTTTTATCAGGTGTGTAGTCTAAGGCAAGGCACAGCATCCCTTCCATTAGTTACCTCCTCTACAAACTGAGGCATACCTAGTGAAGTTTCAATGAGAGTGAGAAAGTGTCTGACACGGTGTCTAGCCTGTAAAAATTACTGACTTAACAGGTAGTTTCATCCATTCCTCATCCATTTATTCAAAATTTACCCTTCTATTGTAACTTTTTCTCTTTACTGAATTCCATTATTAAAAAAAAATACTAGTCAAACTATAGGTGGTAATCAAGCACAAGTTATAATTCAAAGTTATTATTTATTAACTACTTAAATATCACTCATATTTTCAGTGCCTTGATCTATTGATGGGTATAATCAGTCTCCAACTTAACACACAGTTTTCAAATGAATTGCCACGTCTCAACATCAATGCTATTAGAAAATGCTGGTGTATCAATCTCCTAGCATCAATTTCCTCAGATGCAAACACTTTTAGTAGCTTGGAGAACCACTTAACCCCATCACAAATTCTCTGTTTTACTTTGGGGCTTAAGTATTCCTGGAAGACAGCCATGGGATATTTGCAAAAAGGTTTGGGAGCCTACTGTGGCTCAGTCTTCAAGGTCAAGATAGGCAGTAGGTTTTCTGGATCCAGAAAAGTTACAAGTTGATTGTCTAACACCTGGCACATAGAAAACGCTTAACAAATATTGCTCAATAGATCTGACAGCAGAGTGAAGTCGCTGAGAGCTCCAAAGAGAGCCAGGCACTGAGGATTCAGGGCGGTGTTAGGATTATTCCTGCAGCATATTACTTCGACTTTGTGAGCTGATCTGAGAACCTGACAATTCATGACCTCATTCCTAGGAGAGGAGTTTCAAATACCTGACTTAACAAATGACCTTTCTAGACAGTAACTTAGGTACAACTTTGGAGCTACTTGATTTCACAAATATGGGTAAGATTTCTCTTTGCTATGGAGATATGATTTGACCAAACTTAAGTATTTCTTCATGAGTAAAACAATAATATATGTTTCGAAAATGAACAAGACCTTTTTTTTTTTCTGTTGCAGTTCTGTTGGAATTCCCTTTGACATCACATTGGTGGGCTGCTTTAGGTGTATATATATATATATATATATATATATATATATATATATATATATATATATATGAGATCCATGTGTTATACATATATATGTATATATGATACTTATATAATATAAATATATATTTATATATAAACTGGGGGCTTAAAAATATTTTTATGTGGGTCAGATAATTGGGCCAGAAGACTTCTCAAGGGTTTTATCATTCTAAAATTATAGGGAATAAAACACTGGATATATATTTGTGGCATATTCTTTTGGTTCTCTTTCTACATGAATAGTATTACTGTCTTTATAGTAGTACAAGAAGAAGGGAAACTATTTTATCTCATTAATTCTTTTCTGTCCACCAGTTGAACAACTGAATTCATCAATCACATATGTAGTAAGAAAATTAACCAAGTGAAAGTAGGCTTTTCTAAAGCTTTTTCTTTAGATTAAGCCAGACACTGACCACAAAATATTTTTAGATTTCCTCTTTTCAGTAAACTTGGCAGTAGTTTTTATCTAATTATTGTCATGCTTAGTAATGGAAATGCAGCACTTTACCACATTCTTTTCGTAAAGTCAAGTTATCTGTTTTTAGTACCAGTATTATTTATATTACTTACTAGCACCCTTCACTCGAGTTTAATTCTCCACTTACCTTGCATATCCATAATTCTCCACTATTGTTTTGTGTATACAGAAAACACTTGTGAAAGTAGATGTTTTATTTTGCATAAGTCTTCCCAAGATGTTGATTTTTAATAAATCAGAAAAATGATACTAAAGAGATGCTTTATGAGCCCAAGTGGAAATCATCTTTTCTCTATGAAAAACAAGAACTTCTCTTTTGGGTTTTATTTACAATACCACAAAATTTATTGAGGCCTAGCCAACTAAGTCACATATCAAATGCAACCCTGATGACAAGGCGAGTCAACTTTGGCATAATGAAATAGCTAATAGAATTTGCTAAAATAGTTGGGTAGCAATTTCAGTTTCAATAATCAATTTTGGATTCCTCAGAGGACAGTTGCCAAATGCTATCTGAGGTAGCCACCTTTGATTTTTTTTTGAGTTAACAATTTAAAAATAAGAGAATAGTGGCTAAACATCTTGGAAATTCTATCTTGTCTCACATTGGATGTGCGTCTTTGTATGAGGAAGTGGTCCTGTCAGGCCTGATTCACTAAGGGCTCTTACCTCAGGGACTTCTTTCTTTCATGGGAGTTATGCAGTTACTACCATGCAAGGAGCACCAGATTTATGGAAGCCCTGTAAGGCCTGACTAATACTTTAAAACAAACAAGAATCATTGGGCAAATGAAATCAGAGCTAAAGGCATTTTTATAAAACCAAATAGCTCAGGTAGGTGGAATTCTTGTTTTCAAAATCTTTTCGATGCTCAAAAATATTTTCCACATTAGTAAGCATGTTTTCCTTTTATAATTAGAGGGGGAAAATACCTTATAAAGAATATTTTAAAATAGCAACAACACAAACAAATGGCAGGTCTCAGGAGCTAAAAGAATTGAAAATTTCTTGGCATGTGCTTTGACTCCTTGCCTTTGAATTTCTGAGTTTTAAGAGCTCCTTACTATTAATTTGAGAGAAACATGCAGCTATTCCCGAAGGAAATTTTGAATTTCAATAATTTACCAGCACAGAATATATACCTACTCTCTTTTAGCTGAATCTATAAACTCCTTATTTCAAATGCTATGTCAGTTTCAGGAACATTATTTTAGTCATGACGATTGTTCTTATTCATAATCTCACCGATGAATTATTCATTATTAGTAGTTAACCAAAACTTCCCTTTCATTACTTGCAGGATTTGGCTTAATTTCAATGATAATGTGGAGGCCAGACTTTAGCATACTGTTTGTTCAAAGATAATCTTATCTATCCAGATCTGGATGATTTTTAACAGAATAGCTGATTCTGTCTATGTTATTACATACATTGTATCCAAGCTAAATTGTATTTTTTGTTCATACCTATATTCAAGGTTGAATTTATTCTGGATATTTTTTTTTTTTTTTGCGGTATGTGGGCCTCTCACTGTCGTGGCCTCTCCCGTTGCGGAGCACAGGCTCCGGACGCGCAGGCCCAGCGGCCATGGCTCACGGGCCCAGCCGCTCCGCGGCATGTGGGATCTTCCCGGACCGGGGCACGAACCTGTGTTCCCTGCATCGGCAGGCGGACTCTCAACCACTGCGCCACCAGGGAAGCCCTATTCTGGATACATTTTAACTATAAAAAGAAACAAGAGGAATTAATGGAGAGCAGAAGAATCCTAGTAAAAAATTCATGAGCAAAGTCATAAAATACAGTGTATCCCAAAGTGTGTTCCATAGAAACCTAGTTCTAAACAATGTTGGCAGTGCCATGTAAAGTAAAAGTTATATATCTAAGTATTTTAGTAAAACAGACATTTATTTAGGACTTCTTAGACTCTTTAACATACTATTGTGAATGTGTCATCTCTGAGCCGTAGTATATACCTCATGTGCTGTTTCTCAAAACATATTTGACCAGAGACCCACTTTAGAAAATGGATGTATCGTGTGGAAACTATAACATAGAAAAGGGCAGATTCAAAACTACTGCAAATCCCTGTAACCAGAATTAGATTTTATTATTGTCCCAGAGTATTTGTTAGAGCATTCCTTATGAACTTATTGCCTTTTAAAAAATATTAGTATCTATGTCTTTCCTTATATTATGGTGTTTTAACATAGTATTTCTTAAAATTTAATGTGCACTCGAATCACCTGGGGATTTTGTTACAATGTGGATTTTGGTTTAGAAGGGCTGGAGTGGAGCCTGAAATGGTGTATTTCTAACAGTTCCTGGGAAATGCCTGTGCTGCTGGTCCACGGACCACACTTTAAGTAGCAAGGTCTAAGTGGTTGGAGTGATATATTTTTTAAGGTTGTATAGCTCTGTACTGCCAGTCCTATGTTTTTTATATCATGGTTATTCAATAAATGCCTGTTGAACGGTGGTAAAACTGAGGTGAGTTAAATTTATATAACTCTCTTAAATATTTCCCACATTTTAGTATAATTAAAATATCTCCAGATATAAAAGAAATGCACAGCATGGTTACAACTAAAATATAAGTAAGTATAGGAAAAACGACAGGAAAGTGCAACTCTCCCTTCCCCTCCCACCCTACCCACAGCACACACACGCTCCCACACAAATATTTTGGGAAACGGTTAGAAACTATCCCTAGAATTTTTTCCAAAATGAATCTTTTTATCCTAAAAGTCTATTTCTCCATAAAGGCATGCATTCAACCACTAAGAAATGTTATGCTAATTGTATGTATTCCAGGTAACCTTCCAAAACCTACTTTGTATTGATCAGTTACTGGTTAGATAATTTAAGCTTCTCGTGCACATGTAAGTATGAAAATAATGGTGCTGTCTCCCTTGCTTCTGTCTCACATTTACTTATTCACGCAGACTTTTGTTTTCCATCCATTATTCCCATTCTTCCTGTAAATTTCCTTCAAAATGTTTGGTTATAGAAGTATCAAAATCTGTAACTCATTTAAATCAGCCAAGGAACCATAAATTTCAATTACCAGTAACGACTTTTTTCGTCTTTAAAGGAAGGCAGGATAGGGTAGCTAGGAAATGGTCAGCATTATGATATTTCATTCCCCAATTAAAACACCATCGACAAGCGC